AAGCCCATCAGGATTTTCTGATCCATCACTTTGTCTTGCATTCCGTTCCTGCTCTTTTCTCTCTTTCTTTTAGTTCTGCTGCCTTTCTCTTCTTTCCCTCTTTCTCCACCTGTGCCCTGCTCCGTCCCTCTCATTTTCTCTCTGTTTCCCTCCTGCTCCCTGTCTTTGCCCTGCCCCCCCATTTTTCTGTCATACTTCCTCTTAGGGCTCCCCACCACCACTACTCTGTCCTGCTCTCTGTCGCTGGTATTTCTCAGTCAGCAGCACAGTGTGTTTTTTGTCCTTCCATCTCTCTGTCCTGCTGCCCAGCCCTGGCTTTCTTACCTCCAACTCTGTCCTGCTCCCCATCTCTTATTTTTGCCTGTCTTTGCCTTTGTCCTGCCTTCCTGTCCCTTTTTCCCTCTCTCTCACCTGTCCTGCTGCCTGTGCTTTTCTTGGAGAATCTGTGTCCTGCTGTTCCCTGGCACCTGCTGTGAATCCCAGTCAATGTGAAATTGAACTTACCTGAGCTTGAATGAAATCAGACCAATTGCATCTGGTTTCCTTCCTGTCTCCAGTTCCAGCTGACTTTGCTGGCACTAATTCATGATCATAAGACCCTGAGCTGCAAGTATACTGACGGCATCGCTCACTTTGGTAATGGGGTGGGTGGTCTGTGATAAGGCATGTGTACTTGGGTGCTGGTGCTGCTTTCATGAACATTCTCTGGTCTTGCCACTTCAGAGCTCTTCCTTTTTTTTCCCAGAAACTTGAAGACAGCATTTCTTATTCTGGGGTTCACACTGGAGCTGGACTGAACGCGTGGTATAATGGGCTCTGTCAATGGGAGAGAGAGCCCTGCTTTTTCATTGTTGTTTTCTAATGCTCTGTGAACTTTGGTAAGCAAAGGGAAGAGCGGTTGAAAGAGTCTCTTGAGAGTAACTTGTTCCTATAGCGTGCCTATCTTCACCTTATGGTGAAGGTTTCTTACAGGAAGCATGATTTTGCTGAGCTATGAGGTTGCCTTGTCTTGGTAAATATAACAAGCGTTGTCTTCAAAGGTAGTGAAGCTGTAGCAAAACTAGCGGGAAAAGCTAGTTTCTTCCTAGAACGCTGCCTGATAAAATAGTGGCAGGTAAAGGCACTTGCAGTTGGCTTTTCTATGCAGTCTTTGTGCAGAGCTTTTGGCACTTTTGGTACTTTTTGTAGGGATTGATTTCTGTGGAGGAAGGAGGAATGAGGGAAAAAACAGTGCAGCTTGTCTGAACGGCTGCTTCGCTGCAGGCAGGGTTTGAGTCTTCATGCTAGAACAGGTCTTTACTATAGTTTATAAACAAAGATGAGCTGTCTGTAAGGAAAGCTTCATCAGAAGTAAGGCTAATTTTGCTAAATTTGGTACTCTGCTGCAACTGAGAGATGATTTGGCAGTATTTACATCCCAGCTACGTGCCAGTGTGTTAACGCAGGCCATCAAGGTCTTTTGAGCAGTACTGCTGGACTGCAGGTGATGTGCCTGGATGGTACCGAGACCCTGGGTGAACCAGCTCTGCCAGCTGTTAAAGCTCAGAGGATGTGACAGAATGGAAACCATCCTTGTAGCGGACCCAGACCACCAAAGGTGCGATGTGCTGCTGATATCCCACCAGCCTGGGGATGTGGGGACTTTCGCTGAGAGCCTGGTAACGATCCTGTTTTCTGCTCTGGTAGAGGCTTTTTGTGCACCCTGTCCCAGGAGGCTTATTAGCCACGGCTGCTTCTTTGAGATCTCAGAAAAGACACTGCAGGAGGCAGAGACTGTGGTGGCATTGCTGGTTTAAGGAGTTTGGTGTAACCTTTTGCCCCTTGCCTTCCTGTCCCACAGTGCAGTGTGCCCTTTCATGCCAGTGAAACTACCTGGAGCAGCCCAGTGAGCAGTGAATGTCTTAACCAGGGTGTTAGCCCATCCCACTTGCCCTGTGTGTGCTTTTCTGTGGCTCAGGGTGTAAGTGGAGGAGGTTTGTAGTTGTGCAGCTTTCTAAAACCTGCATCAGGGTAGTGAGCTGCCTGAGAGCATTGGCAACATGCCCTGAAAATAGGTGGCCAGTTGCACAAGTCAGAAGTTCTTGGGCTTGTTGCTGAAGCCTCTGTCTGCTTAAATCATGCATCTAAGGATGAAGTTAATTTTTTTGGGGAGAAGCTGGAGGGTTCCCTTGTGCACGTGGATGCTTTTGTTAACTGTGTTTTTCTGCTTTAGGCCTCGTCACGCGGGCAGATGTTTTGCTGCATGTAGCCTTCTGACCAGCAGTGGCATCTCAAGAAACCCTGATGTCTGTCAGCAGCACTGGTGAGCAGCTGGGAATTTCTGTGTCCTGCAGCCTGCTGAGCCCCAGTACTGGTAGCTGGGCACCCTGGATTTTCTGCCACTGTCTCCAGTTCACCACAGAATGTCTTGGCCATTCCCCATAGCCAACCTGACCCACATCACACAGCAGTCCTATTCAAGGTACATTTTCAGTGAGACTCCTTCCGGAGTGATCATTTCCTGGGAGGACAGTGCAATGATGGAGGTAAAGTGTCCCCCCATGAACAGAAGGCTTCTGGGCCTCCACAGGGGCAGTGCCTTGGAGGACACCTTTCAGACTGGGGAGAGGGGTAGCGTCTAAAAATTCTTCCACTGGCATGTGCCATCCAGGGAGAGAGGCTAGGACACAAAATACAGAATTTCAAGAGTAATTCTGTGTTCATGGCCATGAGGTGTACCAGTCAAACTGTGGGGCATCCTGAGCGTGGTTTTACAGACTCATAGAATTGTTAGGGTTGGAAGCGAACTCCGGAGATCTTCCAGTCCAACCCCTTGCCGAGGCAGGGCCACCCAGAGCAAGTTCCACAGGAATGTGTCTGGGTGGTTTTGGAATGTCTCCGGAGAGGGGGACTCCACAGCCCCCCTGGGCACCCTGTTCCAGTGCTCTGACACCCTCACTGGAAAGAAGTTCTTCCTCGTGTTGAGATGAAACTTGTTGTGCTTTAGTTTATGGCCATTGCTCCTCATCCTGTCACCGGGTAGCACTGAAAGGAGTCTGGCACCATCCTCTTGGCACCTGCCTTTCAGATATTTATATGCATTGATGACAATCCCTTCTCAATCGCCTCTTCTCTAGACTAAACAGGCTGTGGTTCTTACACATGGTTCTTACACTTTTCAAGCACTCAGTGGTTTGACCAGTGCCTACTCAACACACACATATACTCCTGTTCTGCAAAGCAGCTCTAATTGCGTGGCGTTGTCCTCCATCTGCTTCTTTCTTGACCAAGACATCCCTGCAGCTGGTCTTGCTGCCGTACCGTCTCTGTGCTGCGAGGTGAGGGAAGGGTTTCACTGAGATGTCAGAGGGGCTGGGCTGCTGCTCTGTTCTGGGTAGTGCAGAGGTATCCTTTCTTCTTCAGAATTGGGGCTGTTCTTCTCCCCCTTGCAGTGATCTGGGGTTCTTCAGTTGTGCTACTGAATCACAGCTACGCAGCTTACAGTGTCAACTCTATGTACCTGAAGAAAGTTCATCCAGCTTCATAGTCTAAAGACCAATTGCTACAATAGTTAGGGAAAGAGATTCTCCTGACAGTCCCTTCTTTTTTTGTGACCTTTAGGTTCACACTGTCCTATTCACTGTTCAAGGCATAAGTTGAGTTCATAAGGTCACACAACACTGAGAACAGACATACATCGTTACAAAGCAAAACAAGAGAGGGACTACAACAACTCAGCTCCTTTGAGTTCACAGTCCTCTACCTTTGTTGGGAGTCAGGAAGTTAGCCACCCAAATAGGTTTAGTGGAAATCCCTGCCTTACTTCATGTAATATTTTTAAATGAGTCTTTATCTTGTTTCTGTCTCCCACATTGGAGATATTCAAGGCCCGCCTGGACAAGTTCCTGTGTGATGTACTCTAGGTTACCCTGCTCTTGCAGGGGGGTTGGACCAGATGATCTCTTGAGGTCCCTTCCAGCCCTTGGGATTCTGGGATTCTGTCAGTTTTGTTGTTCTGGTACTGATTCACATAAAACCCCAGTGGCTATTAGTCAATACTGCACATGCTCTGTCATGCCCATTCTCTGTCCTGTAGTGCTAAAAGGTGGTCTAGAGCCGATTGATTCCGTATTACCATTTGTGATAAGGATTTGGTTTCTTCCTGTAGGGCTATAATGCTGCTTGCGCTTTCAGGAGTGGCTTTTTCTAATGGCCTTGACATATTTGCTATATAGCTTGTTCTAGTTTCGCAACCCCTCACTGTGATACAAAAGCTGTTACAGAGAGGGGGAATTTAGAGCTACATTCTGCCAGAGGGCTGCAACACTTTTTCCTGTAGCTATCAGTAGTTAAGAGTGAGGGGATCAGAAGAGATACAGATTCTAAGCTGGGCCTCTCCCAGTGCTGGTGGTTCATTTGCTACTTTTTAGTCCTTTTCCTGCAGAGTTCAAGCAACTGTGGGTGTGTGACACTGGGGAAGTCCATTGGTTGATGGCAATAAACGTAAATGGTCATTGGCTGCTTTGACTGAAGTCTGTGATTCTTTAAGATGCGCTCAAGCACCTCGTTATGTCCCCTGCCTTTGCTGGCTCCATGGCACGGTGAGCTGAGCACCACAGAGGGGCTGCATCCGGCCCAGGATGTTTCACCCTGGCTGGATGTTGACGGGAGGGTGGGGGTGCTTGGACCTGCCTTTTGTCACAGTGCGCTGGGTCGCCTGGGTGTGCTGTGTTGTGGCAACGGGGGCAGAGGTGCTTGAGTCGCCGTAGAGGTTGGTCAGGCCTCGGAGTGCTGCATGCGGGAGAGGACACTGAGGCCAGCTAGGGCTTTGGGGAACTCTCCCCCCCGGGCTTTGAGGAGGACTGGGGCAGGTGCCAACACACGGCACAGCTCACTTGCTGAGGGCCATAGCCTGGAGCTGTTAAGGTGGCAAAGCCAGGACCTCACTACGCCAGGATGGAGGCCTGAGGCTCTGTCAGCCGAGGCTGCCTGATGTGTCAGGGCCTGGCTGTGGCAGAGTGCTGCAGCCTCTGAACGCCATTGGCCAGCCAAGCTCAGCCCGTGCTGCTCACCCCAGCCCCCTCGGTGGGCTTTGCCGCGTGCCCTCACCTTGGCAGAGGCTGCAAGGCCTCTACCTGTCATTTGCCGAGCTAGACACGGTAGTGGAGCAGGCGCTGCCTGGCCCCGACCATGTCTTGCATCCACTACAAGTTCTTCTCCAAGCTGAACTATGATACGGTCACCTTCAGTGGCCTCGACATCTCCCTTTGCGACCTCAAGTGCAAGATCATGCGCAAGGAGAAGCTGAAGGCAGCCAACTGTGATCTGCAGATCAGCAATGCCCAGACCAAAGAAGGTACGTGTGCGCAGCATGTGCAGGGCTTTGGGGATGTCCTGGCTGGCGATGTTGCAGAGCACCTCATGATGGCTGCAGCCAGCAGAAGCCGCATGCTGCCTTTTATGGCTCATCCGCACATAGCACGAGTGAGCCTGGGGCCCATCCTGCCAGCTGGCAGGAGCACCAAGAGGGTAAGCAGTGCCAGGGATTAAGTGGGGTGGAGTCATGAAATCTGATTGAGCATCCTGCTGGCTACACCAGTTTGTCAAATGTGCACACTGAGTCACAATGTCCAGAAGAGAGCCCCGAGCTTTCTAAACCCCTGAGGGGAGCCTAGGTGAAGCTAGATCTAGCCTTAAGTCTCAGGCTTGGTCAATGGTTCATGTCTAATGGAATGTCAAAAAAGAAAATCAAGGTAGAATCCAGCTAAAATGATTGGCATGGAAACCAAAGATGAAAAAAGGAAGCCCTCCCACCGAGACACAAAGTTCAGAGTGGACCCCCTGGCTTTCTAAACTCCTGATGGAGCCTAAGTGTGGCTGGATCTAGTCTTAGTGTCAGACTTGATCAAGCAAATGTAAAGCACTGAGCAGATGAGAAGTGTGGCTTTGGATGGATTAAGCTCCAAGAAACAGAGAAAGGTGGCAGGCTCTCTTCTGCATTCTTTCACTCTCGAGCACCAGCAGCAGAAGTGACTCAGTTAACAGTGGCGAAAGCAGTGGCTCTGAGTTTTCATGCTTTTACTAATGCCTGGCTTGTTTCAGAGCAAGCTAGTCAGACTTTAGAGCCTGGTTTATGCAGGTGAGACTTTGTGGTGGTTTGTTTTTCTCCAGAGATCTATTGGTTTTGTAGCCTAATAGAAGCAAAAGCAACCTCAGGTAGTTCAGGAAAGCCCCCCCTGTATTAGCAGGCTGTCCCGTAGTGACCTCTGAGACCCTTTTGCTGCTGGCATTCAAACTGTTTTTAAAAAAGGAAAAAGATTTAGCTGCTGGTGTTTGGTTATCGAACCTGAAAATGTCTTGAAAGGTACTGTTAGTGTGTTCAGACAATGAAAGCACGATGTTACATACGGAATTTGGCTTCTGTATCTGTAGAGGCCTTCTCTGAAGCGCTATGTAGTTAATGATGTATTAATACATGTCCTTTTGAATGTTTTTTTCTGTGCTTCTCTTGGTTTCAGAATACACAGAAGATGCCCTGATTCCTAAAAACTCATCGGTAATTGTCAAAAGAATCCCTGCTGGAGGAGTTAAAGCTAAAAGCAAAACGGATGTTCCGTAAGTGTCCACACAGCATTGCATTCTTGGCTGTTGGTTTCAGTGTGTGAACTGTTTTGATGCATTTGAGGCATTCAGATTGTATCTTTCTTGTTAAAGTTTCCGTTAGATTTTGTTGTCACTGAGTAGATTTGCATGTATCGGTCCCAAAGCAGACTTATGTTTTTAGGCCTGCTGGGATACGGGGTTCAAACTCCAACAATGGAAACTTTTAAAATGATATGAATAGGTTTTGTTCTTGGTGTTAATTTTTGTGAGAGCTTAGTTGTAGATCCTGTTTTGTCTGCGTGGAGAGATTCTTTGTTATATGTGTTCGCTTTTATGGCTTTTATAGCGAAGAGAGTTCTGCAGTGCAGTGCAATTAAGACTTGTTTTTTGGTCGCAGGACTCCTCAGTCACACAAAATCCCTGGAGCAGCTTCTTTCAGGTGACATTTCTACTCCTATTTTTAGTCAATAAAGCGTATGTAACATGTCTAGTACTTTGGCACTTTCACAGCTAAGCATGGTAGATACCTGAACACAGTGCTTGGGCTTCCACAAAGAAACACTCTTCTAAAACTAAGCTGCTGACAGTTTTGTTATTTCTTTGTCAGATGACTGATTTTTTTTCACTGAAGTAAACTTGCCCTTTGAAGTGTTGGGACTGTCACTGTTCCGCCATAGAAACTAAAGTACTGTATGTGACACCTGTTTGTAATACTAGGGATGTACAGATTGCCTGAAGCTACGTTCATAGTTTGAGGGTTGATTATTTAAGAACACAAAGCTGTACTACAGACTTGATATATTTGATACTGATGAGGCAGAGAAAATATCTGAGGACTTTGTCTTGCACTGTTGTGTTCTGTATCTGTAAGTCTGCCTTTGTGACAAAGTAGAAATGGGATTTTGGAGGTTCTTTTAGTTGCACTGAATGACCAAGAGATAAGAGTTTGTGTACACAAATACATTTCCATATTCCCTAGACTGTCGGAACATAATGTTTTGATGTTCGGGATTTATAATTGATTTTTGGTGCTTTCTGTTGGGTACAAGTGCTTTATTTTAAGTTCTGATCACCTTTCTGTCTCCTCCTAGAAGTCGAACTGAGCCAGCGAGCAGAACATCAGAAGCAGTACGTAAAAACCCGATCTCACCTGTTTTTCTACTCACTGCACTGAATTCTAAACAATGTAGCCTTGTATTAATTTTCCAAATATTAACTTCATCTATCTTCCAGTAAAAAACAGTCCAGAGTGTAATTCAAATGCACTGATTCATCATGGTGAAAACTGAGTCACGCCATCAATTTGCAGAGTTCTGATGTGAATGTTGGGATTTATGCCTAGTAATGCATGGTATTTCCTATTGCATATGCTAGGATATGTCCTGTGTGGCTTTGTGTTGTGCAGATAGTGCCTGATCATCTTTAGTTCACGCAGGTTCCAGGTGTGCACAGTTGAACTTGGTGCCACGTTCGAGATCTGTCTGCCTATAGTTAATAATGTTGTGAGTTTGTACAGCCTTTTCTGTGCTTTTTGTACAAACTGCACTTCAGCAGTAGTTCTCTGCAAACACTGCGGCCCATTCCTAACCAGCGGCCTGAGGACTTCATTGGGGCAAGCTACAGGCGTAGGCAGCTGGGAGGGAGGAGTATGTTTGCAATGGAGGAAAAAATGCCATGACTGTGCTTTGAATCCGTGCTTTCATCGTCAGGAAAGATTGGGTTTGGTCTGATAGAAAGAAGAACAAAAATTCTCACGCTTCCCAAACTGATTTGGAGAGTGTGTCCTGTGGTCTATTAAAATACAAGAAATATTTTTTCTCCATTTTTATAGGCTACTCTGTCATAGTAAACACCTTTTTTTTTTTTTTTTTCCCCCCAGTAATTTGAGCAGTTTCTTTTTTTCCTAGACAAATTGGCAGGTTACTTTTATGGCTGATGGTTCAGATTGGTGTTTGGGTTTGGTGGGGTACGGTGAGTTTGGCATCTTTGCAGTTATTCGTCAAAGCATAACTGTATAAATGCATGTTTAAATGATGAGACATGAGCTGACTAATTTACAAACTACACTGCAAGTAAGTTTCCTGTAGTGATGCTTCCTTCTCAAATAAACTTCAGCATTTTTTCACAAGGGCCCCTCTCTGAGATATTCTGGAGCAGTAAGTCCATCTCCAGCAAGTTGGTTAGTTTAGTTTCCTCTCATTAGCCACATAGGCACTTTTCAGTTGTCACAGGTTTGGACTTTATTCTGAACAAATACAAATTACAATAGGTTGGCAATGCCTCTTTCAGTGACACGCAGAGAATAGAGTGCAGATTTTCAGACTGCAGTAGAGGTTAACTCTTGCTATGTTTTGACTATAGAACTTGAATATGCGTTTATTTTTTACTGAACAGATGAATGAATGTTTTTGAATTTCTAGTCATTAGAGGCATAGAAGCATTCTTTGGACACTGCACAGTCCCGTGAATTCCAGCCTCTGGACAGTGGAGAACGCAATCAAATTTGTTTGCTTGCAGACGGTGTCCACTGTGTAAATTGTGTACTTGGTTGTTTAGAGGAATGTACCAGTGTGTATCTACGGTGTATTAGCAGATGTGACCAGCTGAAAATGTTGCAATGGCCTGTTTGGGGATGGAACTGCTTGCTCTTTTGGCTCAACACTGTGTAACTTTGGCAGGACACTAAAGACTGCCCTATTTGAAAAAATGTAGCGCTAGCCAATTAAATGGAAAAGATGGGAGCTAGTTCTTTCTCCTAAGAAGAGAGGCAGGAGTTCATTTGTAAGAACGAGGGGTCTTCCCAGCGGCAGCATCTTCCCTCTCTCACTGAAGAAATGAAATTTGGGGCCTTCGGCTGTCCCTGCGTGTGTCCTTGGTTCTGTAAACCCATGTGAAGTTTGACTCTCAAATGTGAAAAACTGCCCAAGTGGTGTGCACATTGAATCTTTTGAGAAACGCACGAAGGACACATAAAGCAGCTCCAAACTGTTACTTACTCGAAACACATTATTCAGGCTGGCTTAGCACAGGGGCAGTGTGCTGTGAACTAGTTTTTGTTTTATTATTACAGTGCAGTAAATGCCATAGTTGAATTTTGGTCTATTGCTAGTAACGTTTTGTGAGGTTTGGATATATTTTGTAAACTGTTTGGGTTCAAACAAATTAGTCAAACATCTGCAAAGTTTCCTGTAAACGTTAATGGAAATGATTTCATAGATGTCCATCTGGATCGTATAACTGATAAGAAACTGTGTATATGAACAAGCCGTTTAATAAAATGCAGAAACTGGTTGATTGCTCTTGTGAACAAATGCGTGTAGAAGTGAAGATGTACGTGGTTGATCTGAAAGATGGGTGATTGGAGGTCCGAATCATTTACAGGCACTCCCTTAGACCTTTCTTGTGTATGGACTAGTGTGTAATAAAAACACCAGAAAAATCAGCTGGCTTCAAGATCTAGTTCTGCACGTGGGTGGTATTACAATATGTCCATTAAAAGGACACAGTCCCCTGGAAAAGCCTGCAGGTTGTGCTCACTGTAGTTAAATCCCTTAGTAGGAAGAAGTTAGTAGGGGGGGAAATGCAGTTTGGATTGCCTACAGGACACGATGGTCACATTTCTACTGAAAAGAACCTTGTGTCTTGCTGAGGGATCAGAAAGATTCCTTTCAGCGCTTTTGTGTCTGATGCTGAATTTCAGCAAGCAAGAACTGCAGCCCTGCCACTAACACCGTGTGTTCTTTTTAGTGCTGCAAAATGTAAATACTGTAACTTGCAGAAATCTTTCTCAATTAAATGCACAGTAGCTATCTTCTCCTTCAAATGGGCTGGAGCTTCAAAACCAGTTGAAAACTACTGCTAGTGTCATTTCTTTTACTGATCACTTCAGCCCACTTGGAAGAAAAGTGATCGGTTACACAAGTCTATGTCAAGCCTAAGGTTTTGAGTGCCCAAGGATACTCTTTTTCAAGTAGGCTAGCGGGCACATAAGCATCCTGTACAAGCACAAAGTCTCCCCAGCGCACGCTCAGGACAACTGTGTTTCATAGAAGCATCTGTTTTCAGGCAACATCAGCTAGCATTGTGGTGCCCTTTACAGGATTGAGCAAGCGGTGTTGTCTTTGGCTGGGTGAGCTTGCATGTGTTTCTAATGTGTGTGTCAAATAATTCCATGTTAAACAGACTGCCAACCTGGCTGAAGCCAATGCTTCTGAAGAAGATAAAATAAAAGCCGTGATGATACAGTCTGTGTGTCAATATGATCCAGTCAAGTAAGTGTTGATAATGTCAAATCAGTCCTTTCATGATTATGGGAAAAATTGTGTAGAGACACATGCATACCTTTTTCTTCCTGAAACCTTTTCAGTCCCAGGAAGAAGCCCTTGGGGACACCTCCACCATCGTATGTTTGCTTTCACTGCGGAAAACCTGGCCACTATAGAAAGGACTGCCCAAGAAATGGGGTAAGGTTTTGGGGACTTCCGGTGTTACTTTCTGACCTTGTTTAATTTCTGACCGTGGCAGTCAAGTAACAAATACAGGAATAATCGTATTGAGAACTGTTTCTCTTGAGGGGAAATAGAGAGGTTACATGGCAATGCTGAAAAGCCCTTCAAAGTTCAAGGGAAAGCCGGGATTATAAATGTAATTTTTTCTTTTTTCTAAGCCACAGACCTGAAATAAGTCCATCCATAGATCTCTTCATCTATGAGTTTACATGCATATCTTTATGTATTTCAATATTACTGGAAATGTTTCTGGTTTAACTCTTTTTAATGACAGTTCACGTTTTCAGGATTTTGTATGAAACCAAGATGTTTCTGTTAACCCCATCTACTGAATATTTGTGTGTTTTACTGACACAAGTCCCTGGTTGAGTATTCATGCCCTTTAACATTAGTCCCTGAATGTGTACGCATGAGGTATGAATTCAAGCTTCATCTATAGCTGGTGAATAGATGTTTCTCCAGTGGCTGACCCAGAGCCCTGACTTAAGCTTTCCCTCTGAACTGTGCTGTGGGGGGGAGCAGGTTTGTATCTCTTCTCCCAGTGCATCATGAGGCAAGGGATATTTCACCCTTAAGAAACCTCTTGTTAAGCCAAAGAATGTCGACTCAGATCAAAACTCTGCTTAAGCCTTTCACAGGATCAGAGAACCAACTAGGTTGGAAGAGGTGCATCAAGTCCAACTGATACTTCAGGACTGCCAAATCCATCACGAACCATGTCACTAAGGGCCTCATCTACGTGTTCTTTTAAACACTTCAGGGACAGTGATTCCACCACTTCCCTGAGAAGCTGACTTAGGAACAATAGCTGACTTAGGAACATCCTGGCCATGTTCATTTAGGAAAAGAAGTATTTCAGTTGAACAACCTTCACGCTGGGTAAAAGGAGAGGATTTAAAGGGTTTTGCTTCTTACAGTCATCACTGAACTGTCAGTTTAAGTGTAGCTCTTAAGATGAGGTATGTCTGCATTTCTTTTCCTAACAGGACAAAAACGTCCAGTCTGTTCCCAGACTGAAAAGGAGCACAGGAATTCCAAGTAGTTTCATGATAGAGGTGAAAGATCCCAACACGAAGGGTGCAATGCTGACAAACAGCGGCAAATATGCAATACCGGTTATTAATGCGTAAGTATGGAATTAATTGGACTGACCAAAAAGCGAATGAGAGAAAGCGTGCATAAACATCTGAGTGGCCATGCAATCAAGTTGGACTGCATCTGTAATTACTGGAGAGGAAGCGCAGTCATTGCCTTTTAACCTTAAGACCTGTGACACTTGCCCCTCTAAAAAGAGGGTGATCATTCATACTTGTCATGCCCCTGGAAGCTGGTTCAAGTTGTGGTGCACCAAGGATCTGTATTTCTGCAAAACGTTTTGGTAGTGTTGGCAGGGGACTCGTTCTCTTTGAGAGCTCATTTTGCTTCTGGTTTATGTTTCAAAGGCTTCTTACAAAACTGTAACCAATAGCTGTTGGGTTGAGATTTCCTCCCCCTCCGAGTTTTTATTTTACAGAGTTATGGCTATAGAAAAGTAGTTTCAGCTCAGTGCCGACAGTTCAGAAGGCTAATGTGGAGTGAGAAGAATTCTATCCAGTATCTTCTTTTGATAAAATGCAAAGCTTGGAAAAGCATTCCTTTACCCATCTTTAAATTTGTTCTTTTTCCTTCCCCACACGCCCTCCAGGGAAGCTTATGCTAGAGGAAAGAGAGAAAGGCCTCCATTTTAGGAGCCATCCTCCTCCTCTTCTGATGCTCCTATTCCAGATGAGCTGTTATGTCTCATTTGTAAAGATATAATGACTGATGCAGCTATTCTTCCCTGCTGTGGAAGCAGTTATTGTGACGAATGTAAGTGTTATTCCCATATTGTTAATTCAAAACATCACATCTGATCTTCTGAAAGCAAACATAGCAGATAACAAGATTACTTTGTTACCTGTTCTAATTAAAACCTAAGTATACCCTGACTAGGAAAGGACTCGTCTCGTATAAAGTAAAAAAAAACCAAAACACCAAAAAAGAAAAGGCAGAAAACCTGGTTCTCTTTCTACAGATCCAGTTACATCCTCTTTACATGCAGAGGAGTGCCTAACTGTGCAGGTGATTACAGTATTAGATATCAAATGTTTGTCCACAGCCCTTTCTCTCATACAAAATTATACAGCCATCTCTGGTGACTGACTGTGGTCTACAGCAAACGGATAGTAAGGCATTTAATCCACATTCTTCTCCACGGGAGAGCTGGTTCAAACCTTCAGAACTCAGACCTATCAACACTTGTTTTTGTGATGTGCTTTGTTCATTAACTTTGGGGTCCCTGACTTCTTGCTGTAGTGGATAGTGGAAAAAGGATGAGTTGAACCATGAAGACACAGCCTACACTCCCATCTTCCAATACTACAACAGTGAAATGTCAAAACTGTGGACCTATTTGCTGCATACTAGTAAATTTTACACTCCTGAATATTTGTAGCTTCATGCTGTACACTCAAGACCACATTCACCAATGAATCATACACGTGTTTTGGTTAGAACCCAACAACTTTCCTTACTTTGGCTAAAAACTATTGTATTGTGATTATACTAATTATGCACAGGTATTAGAATGGCATTGCTGGAGTCTGAGGAATATACATGCCCAGCGTGTCATCAGACAGATGTTTCTCCTGATGCTTTAGTTGCCAACCAGAGCCTGCGCCAGGTAGTGTGATGAGTTTTACATCAGTTGTACAAAGAGCTTGTAAGGAGCTGAGAGAGAAGACAATATTACTGTAACATTAATTTAGCCTTAAGCAAGGCTAAATTGAATAAGGCTAAATTTACTTTTCAAACACATTATCTCTGACAGCTCTTTAGAGACAATCTGACAAATTCAGGTCACGCTTCTGTTTAACACAATCACCTCACTTTCAAATTTGGTGTTAACACTGAAGTATTTTAAATACAGATACCCTGAGTTAACCCTCATTGACATCAGTGTTGAATGCGGTGTGTTTATATAGCTGTGGTCGAATGCTGTTAGGATTGATAGCATTTCCAGGAGTACACGAGTCATTTTACTCCGTGGAGGTTTTGTTGGTGTATCTGCTGAAGTTTCAGATTACCTTTATAAAATGTTCCTCTGCCTCTAGGCTGTGAACAACTTCAGAAATGGAGCTGGCTACACAAAAAGGCTCCGTAAGCACATTCAGCAGCAGCAGCCGTCGCCACCACCTCCAGCACCACTCACGACTGTTATCCCTCCTGCTGCTTTGGTGACTGCTGCTCAACTGCCTCATTCTTCCTCTCTGTCAATCAGCAGCTTGTTGGAAGAGAAGGTAAGCTTTATTTCCACATATGCAGTGACTCCAGGATTTCAGTAGAGCTTATTTTGCAGCTGTTTGCGTTTATTCACAAGGGCTCTCAAGTTCCTGTACGAAGACAGCTAGTGCTGCCAAGTCTTCTGGGCTCCCAAGGGCAATCGGTACCCACAGCTGGTAAGTAATGATAGCTTTAGAACTTGTGTTAAAAAATTACCTTCAGATAAGCTGAACGGGCCTGTTTTCTTTTTCTTCTCCCCTCTCCAAAAGGTCCTCCGAGGGCAGACAGTACCATCCACGCACCAGGTGCCAGAACAAGCTGTGAACTGTAAGTGTGCTATAGAAATTCAATATGTAACTACTGGTAACCTAGGCTGTAACGTATGACTTAGACAACAGCTGATCGATAATCAAATAAGTGTGCACAGAGAGCTGCGGGGAATACAATTGGTAACTGATTTTTAAATGGCTCAGGCTGAATTGCCTATAAGAAAGGGGATGCGTGCTTGCAGTAAGATTATTTCAACTAAAACTCTGGTACATGATTAAAAAGAAGACTGAAAGAAGGATGCTTTTTGAGAAAACCATAAGTACATATAAAAATTAAATACAAAGAAAGAATCAGATGGAAAGCTTTGGATTCCTGGCTGAGTAGGGCTGAAGAAATGGGGTTCTCAGTTGAAATCAGCATCCAACATTCTTGTTCTAACAACATAGTCGATACTGATTGAGGCAGTTCTTGGAAAAATCAGTGCTGTCGTTTTATGACAATTCTGAATTGTTTCCACTTAGTCATCTCAAATGGCCAAGCTGCTTTCTCTCAGTTGGAGAGAGAAGAGCCTGTTTCTGAGTCATGTTAGTCCTTCGTTTTGGTATAGATTTGTTACAGATGGCTTTTCTATACAGAAGCTTCTATATAGATAAGTTGCACTTTACAAGAATTTAGAACAGAAAAAGTAGCTTCTGTTTCTACAAGAAATTTTCCTTTATCATTCCCCAACCTAACTGTAGCCAGGGGCTCTGCTGGGGAGGGTTTTGAATCTTCCCCCGCTCCTCCTCAGTCTTCATCTAAAGTATGTCAGGGCAGGCCCTAACATTCCACTAAATCTCCGGTGTTTTATTTTCACTCTGAGGGCATTCTCTCTTCCAGTGCTCCCTCTGTTTACAGACTGCACTCTCATCATTCTCCAAGTGCAACCCATGCAGTCTGTTCACAAGCCTTTCTATGTAATCCTTCTTTCTGACCCTTTCCTCCCAGGCCACTCCCCCCTTTCCTGCTTTCCTGGGTGAGAGCAACAGCCAACAACATTTGTTTCCTCCCTATGATTTCCTTCTCCCTTTCAACTCCTCTGTTACTGTATATGCTCCAGGCTGTTTCCAGTGATTTATTGAGTGACCGAGAGTCTGTTCCTCCTGGTTTTTGCAGCTTGCATTTAATACCTGGCTCTGATTGACCAATAAAAAAGGTAAGATAACTGTGCTGCACCTTTTTCAGGGTCCTTACCTCTATACTTATGTTTCATTCCAAACAAAACCAACCGCTGATATTTGGTTAATAAATCCTGCTCAGGCAGAACATTTGGATCCCATGTAGGGTCTGTGGAGGGAAAGTGGTCGTCCACTGACACTGCCCTGTGCCCCCTGCGTATGGAACTTTTCTGCCTCCTCCCTTGCTTTTGCCAGCACTCTATCATCATAAGTTACCAAAGTATCCAATCCTACTTGTAAATCATTCCAGTCTGGATCTTGTGTTCTAATAATCGGCTCCATCACTTTAGTTACTTTTTCAGGATCTTCCCTATCGGGCTCAGCTAACTCTTTCCAGGCTCATAAATCTGACACAGAAAACGACACCTTGATAGTCACCAGCCCCTCCACCCCTGTTCCTTGGCGTAAGGAGCTTGTATACCTCGGAGAGCACCTTTCGTTGTTCACCTCATGATGGAGCTAGAGCTCTCTTCCCATCTGCATCCAAACCTGCCCCCCCCCCTCCCCGCCCCAGCTCCTTCCTTCTTTTAATTTGTGGTCCAAGTAATAATTCCACATCCTCTTTTTCCTACCTCCATCTAACACACCACTTACCAATACTACACGCAGAACATCAACTCTTGAGCGGTTTGTTATTATCCTCCTCCAGTGCTAATACCATGGGATCTGTAGATATATGCACACACCCCTTTCACAAGTCCGAAATACTGTGCCAATCAAAGAATAAATCAATATACCATAACTCATCCCACTTCACCTCCATCCCACTTTGGCAAACCAATCAATTATAATGAATTGTACTGTTCACAGGCCACTTCGCCCCAGACTCCGGCCTATACAATGGCCACCATTGATTACAATACTTTATCGAAGTCTCCTGAGTGACTGAGCCCACCCGGGGATCCACCAATTTGTTTTCAATGCTGCAAAATGCAACCCAATGGGAATTCCTTCAAAATCCTCCCTTTGGAGGCAGTGGTCCTGACCTCCATCCAAGTGCAACGTCCAGACAACCAACCAAATCCTTAGCCGCTGCACAGGGCATCCCCTGTGACTCATGGGGACAAGTTACCAAAAAGAACGCCTTGCTAAAGCAATAAAGTCAGGCTCTGACCGAGGTCCCGAGTTGGTCCGGGGATCTGTGGTTCCTTTCAGGGAAATCCCCAACACTGGCGTGAAGGCCCCAGAGGGTCCCCAGGTCAGCAGGAAGCACGGCAGAGGGGCCATGTTCGGGCACCAGAGTTTTATCCACAGAAGTCCTTTGGAGAAACTCTCTAAGGCTCAATGTGGAGTTTCAGAAAGCAGCTTTCTTTATTGCAGCGCTGGGCGCACACGCAAACAGTTCCACAAAGGTGAGCGTGCCCGTTCCTTGCCGGCAGCAGCTCTGTATTCAGCATACTCATGCATATTTACAGTCTTTCCAGGAGGGCATTTCCATATTCACGAGATTCCCAGGAGCTAATTATAATATCTGCATTTCAATTACACATGCGCTTTCTTGCGGAGTGGGGGTCTCTGATGGTCGCCCACAGTCTGCCTTACTGTGTTTACTGAGTGACATTTTTGCTTGCACATGCTCTCAAGGTCCTAGTGCTGAGTTAGCAGAGGTACGGCTTTGCTTTCTTTGCGTTCCGGTCTCTGTTATCCTGAAGGTCTGCATCCTTGGTCTTACTTACTGCCTCCTTAGTTGTTATCATTCCCTTGACGTTCCTTCCCCCATCAGCTGGACATTCCTTATTCCCTGCGTGTCAGTAAGAACAGTTTGCTGTATTTTATTGTGTTAGTTTAAAGTCATACACTTTATTGTTAGTTTAAACCTGTAATTGAAACCTACGTAATGGCTTGAGTAATACTACTGGAGGCTATGTTTAGCTCTTCAATTTTCAGTAGCATTAAGTTAGCAGCTAAAAGAGAAGAAAACCCAAACCACGTTTGGGAGAAAAAAAAATAGCGAGAATGACTGTTTTGAATTAACTTCCATTTGTGTGTGTGTGTGTTGTGAGCTTTTTTAAGATCCAAGCCTCACTGTCGTACTTCATTTTACTTTAGGAGTTCGCATACCTACTCCAAGCCAAGATCAGGTCCTTCCTGCACTGGCTGCTACTCCGGATCGTGCAGTTGTTCCCATTCACATTCCAACTTGCCATCACTGCAGTATCCTAGAAGAAGCAGAAGGAAGAGCCGTGACTATTCCAGGAGAAGGTCACACGGTCGTCACTGTTCAAGGTCAAGGTCCCCCCAACAAAGAAGACACCACTGATGGTCAAGGACCTGCCCCAGCCCTCTCCCCATCCCTGTTTCTTGTTCCATTCATTAAAAGGTCTGGGTGTTTGCTTCACAGCACCTCTCTGCCTGCAGTCATTTGCACAGCGGGAAGTGGGTAGCGGCTTAATGCAGCCCCTGGCAGCCTGCAGGTGACTGAGCTGGGATGGGGATGGCCGCCGACAGGATGGGTAGTTGGGGCATTGCTCCGGGTGCTGTGAAGCCATGGAAGAAACCACATTGATTAGTATCAATGCCAGGAGGATAGAGACCTCCATCGCTGCCCCAGGACCAGCATCACTGCAGCGGGCTGGATCCAGCCCTGGGAAGGAACCATGGCTGCCCCAGGCGCTAGGCTGAGACTGGCTGAGCATGGGAAACTCAGCTCACACCTGGCTGGTGAGTGGGAATTGCTGGCTGGGGCTCACACAGCGATTTTCCAGAGCTGGCACTGCAGTGGCTGCCCAGCTTGCTCCATCCTTCTGTGGCCTCATCCAACGCTGCCTTGGCGTCAGCCAGCAAAAGACCCAGCCCACAGGTGAGCCCCAAGCCTGTGTCACAAAAAAATGAAGCTGACCCATGAAGACCAAGGCAAGAGGCTAGGATGCAAAGGATAGAATTACAAGAACAAATATTTTTTCATGCACATGTCATGCCCCAGCCCCATTGGAGCACACAAATGTGCCTCTACAGAGGGTCCTTATGCCCTTCAATCATTCAGGTACAAGACGACTTGCCTAATCACCAGCACCCACACTACAAATTACTAATCCCTGTAAACCTTGCAAAGCAACTCCAGGTTTTCAGCATTCTCACTGCTTGCCTACTGATCCCTGGAGTCAGTCTTTCCTGAATTATTGATCTGTGATGCCAAAAAATGCTGGGAGGGCTTCCAAGATGTGTCTGAGGGGCTAGGATCAGACTTGTTCGTAAGGAAATCTTAAACTGGTGAAGATCTTTGTGAAGAGGAAAGGTGCTAATGAGCATATGCAGAATAATGTGAAATAGGAAGTAACTCTATTCCAGCCAGTACCAGGACATCCAGTTCCAACCCCCTGCCATGGGTAGGGACACCTTCTACTAGGCCACGTACAGGGGAAGCTCCATTAGGAAATGAAAATGTTGGAGCGAGGCCGGAGGAGGCCACGGAGCTGCTGCGAGGGCTGGAGCAGCTCTGCTCTGGAGCCAGGCTGAGAGAGCTGGGCTGGGGCAGCCTGGAGAAGAGAAGGCTCCTGAAGGGGAGACCTTAGAGCAGCTCCAGTGCCTGAAGGGGCTGCAGGAAACCTGGAGAAGGGCTTGGGACAAGGGCCTGTAGGGCCAGGCCAAGGGGAATGGCTTGAACCTGCCCGAGGGGAGACTGAGCTGAGCTCTTAGGCAGAAGCTGTTCCCTGTGAGGGTGCTGAGGCGCTGGCACAGGGTGCCCAGAGAAGCTGTGGCTGCCCCATCCCTGGCAGTGCTCAAGGCCAGGTTGGACACAGGGGCTTGGGGCAAGCTGCTCCAGTGGAAGGGGTCCGTGCCCGTGGCAGGGTTTGGAACTGGAGGAGCTTTAAGGTCCCTTCTCAGCAAACCGATCCTGCAATCAGCACAGAACAGGTCTCCACGTGAGATGTGTTTGCAGCTGGGCTCTGCTATGCTCTTGTTTGAAAGCAGCCATGGCAAGTCTGCTGCTGCTGGGGGTGTCTGTTCAAGCCTGTGCTTCTTACTGGGGTTGCTGTCCCCAGGCCTTTTGAGGGTGGGAAAACAGAACAGGGCTATATGAACGTCACTTCAGGTTGCGGCTTATGTTGGAGGTAGAGTAAAAAAAACCCTTGCTGAGAAACTTGTTAATAAACCTGTGATCCTGGGAAATGAGGAAGTTTTGGAAGCCCAGCTCATTTTTAATTTCTACAAGCTTAGGCCTGTGGCAAATCCATGCAGTAATTTTCATTTCTGTTTCTCAGTGCTGTAACGTTTGCTTTGGGAAGAGGGCTGGGACCACTGGGCTGAAAACCCGGCTTCAGCAGCTCCTATGTGGTTATTTTAAGAGAAACCATCATAAACCCATCCCCTGTTTGGGCTTTAGCAGGCTGGGCCATTCTTGCCCTGGGTGCCTTTACAAAACTAAGCCCAGAATTGCATTTTCTTCCTGGAGCCGACAGGACCTGGGAGCCCTGCGCAGGCCGGCTCTGCTGGAGAAGTTGATGTGTGAGACCAGACCAGATGTTTGGAAGCTGCCCCTAAACCAAAGGGTTGAGTCTGGGCAGCATTAACTGCTGCTCTCATGCTGTAAACACGGGCAGCACCCAGTGTCCTGTGTTGAGGAGCACTTCTTGAGAAAGATTGAGGGGCAGAAAAATACCAAGGAAAATGAGCAAGTCCGGTCAGAGTTAATGAGTAAAAGGACAATTAGCTTGTAATGGGAAATGGAGCTGGTGGTGGTGGTGGTACCGGCCCAGCCTGGCTGGCCTGGGGCTCAGGAATAATAGGCAGCACAAGGTGGCGAAAAGCCCCACTCGCTTCATTTTCCTCTTCATTTGGATTCTCGGCTTTGTTTCCAGCCCAAGTCCCTCAGAGGCCGAACTTCCTGCTGGCTGTAGAGCCCATGGGCTGGAGCTGGAGAGCCCGGGAGGGAGTTTTGCTGGAGACCCCTCCCCATATGGAGCTCCATGTCCCTGGCTGTGGTCCCTTTGAAGCCTCTGCAGGAGCAGACCTCTTGGGCTGTACAACTTTTGTTCACAAGGAGAAACCTGGGCATTTAATTTGGCCTTAAACAAAGGACACGGATGAAAGAATCCCAGGACCCTCTGCCACCTGGGAGAGGAACCCCCTCCCAGTGCCCTGCCTTGCTGAGAAGCTGCAGAAACCCTGGGTTGCTGTTTTATTTTACACTTGGTTTGCTTTTGCTCCCTTGCATTCCTCCAAGAGAGGCGTTGCCTTGTCTGAATCCAGACACGGAAAAGCATTGATTTTATTTATTCATTTTTAATCAGAGTTGAAAGGGGAACAACAGCCCTGGAGCTCCTGGGTCATGGCAGTGCCCCGGCTGCTGGCAAGGATGTTGATTCCAGCTGGGACAAGCCTTAGAAAAACTGGGGACAGCAAAAATACCTGGGGAATGAGAAAAAGAGAGGACCCGCAGGGTTTTTTATTGACAGGCTTCCTTCAGGATGGGTGCCTGATGGGGCAGGATGGTGCTGAGTGTCAGCGGCCGGCAGCGGGAGCTGCTGTGGTTCTTGGAGGGATTTCACAGCCTTTTTATCTTGTTTTCTCAGCAAATTCTGCTGCAGCAGGGGACAAACAACAGGTTGCTCCAGGCAGCTTCTTGGCAGAGCACCCATGAGCAGGAGAGCTTCCCCTGTGCGCAGCTGCAGAGCAATGCAGATGGTGAATAAAGTGGTTTTTCCTACTCTGGGTATTTCCTATAACCTCACTGCTAAACCTAACCCAAACCTGTAATCCTAAACCTAACTCTACACCTAACCCTAAAACTCAACCTAAATGAAAACCTAATCCATGAGTCTAACCTTAACTGAAACCCTCTAAACCTATCCCTAACTCCTAAACTTAATCCTAACCAGAACACTAAACATAACCCTAACCCCTAAGTCTAAACCTAAAACCAACCCAATCTCTGCCCTTAACCCGAACACTAAACATTGCACCTAAGCCTAAGGCTAAAGCTGCCCCTAACCATAGCCCTACCCCCTAACCCAAACCCTAAGCCTAAACCTAACTCTAAACCCCCTAAACCTTAACTCTAACACTAACCCTAAACTTAACCCCTAACCCTAATGCTAACCCTAACCCAAAATTACTCATGTACTGGGACGAGCAGTTTGTAACCCACCTCTATCAGCTGCTGCAGCGGAGGAGTGGCCACTCAGCCAAGTCCCATGGAAACTCTTCCTTTATGCACTGGGACCTGCCTGAAACGTCAGGAGCCCATACACTACCCCTGGAGAACATCGTGGCCTCACCATCCTTGGTCACCCAGCCTCAGCTCTTCACAGTCCTCTGCCCTTACCCATTTTCAGCGTGCACCTCTTCTGCCTGGGACATGACTGCTCCTCAGCCCCCACCAAGCACTGCTCCTCCCTTGCAGGACTCCTGCTGCATCGAGGTGTCTTGGCACTCCCAGAGACCCCTGCACCCCGGTGGGGCACCCAACCCTCTGGCTCCAGGCCCGTGGCCTCCCCATCAGCTGAGCGAGCCCAGCAGGAGGCTGGGAGAGAGAAAAAGGATCTTTGGGAATCCTCAGACAAAGTTGCTGCTCGTCCCAAAGGAAAGATCCAGGAGTGGCCAAGGGCACAGCCCCCTCTGCGCCTTGAGCACCTGCTCAGCTGCAACCTAGGGCAAGCTGGGCTTAGCTCCAGGGAGCTGCAGCGAGGACAGGGCAAGCACAGGAGCTCAGAGCATGGCAAAGGCTCTGGTATTTCCCAGAGCACCTGGCTGGGAAAGAGGGAAGCGCTCTGGTCAGCGGAAATAAGAGGAGAAACAGGTTTGAGAAGGTGGGATGCAAACATCCTACCCTACAGCCCCCCCTTCACACACACTTCATCCTTCCTGAGGGTGCTTCAGCACAGGGCCTTCCCTTGGAACCAGTTTGGATGGTTTGGGGGCAGCAGAGCCAGTGCATCTCCATGGAGAGCTGGAATCGCACATTCTGCCTAGCTGAAACCAGACATTTTTCCATTTGGGGTTTGTAGAGGGAAATGGGGAGAGAAAGTTTCCCCATAGTGAGAGGGCTGAAGTAACCACCTCAAACATCAGCCCAGACCCAGGTATGTGCAGGCCTTCCAGCTTGCTCAGCACTGCCTTGGAGCCTCTGGTTGTGTTATTTGCTTTCACTGTCTCCTGAACTCCAGTAAAAACCCCAGGGATGACATGCCACAAAGGCAGGATTGTTTCCAGGAGGTATTTTGTATCAGGGAAAAACCCATTGGAGTGTCAGAGCGGGTGTCACGGTGTCCCCCTTCAATGGATGTTAACGTATTGTCCTGCTTTGAAAGGGATTGGAATACAGCTTTATCAAAATTAACAAGTGCCCAGTATAGGTCTGGATTCATAAACAGAGGCTCCTAAGTGTGCTGCTGCTGGCTGGGG